TGATGAGGAGGTAATAACTTATTATTAATAGGGTATCCTTGTATAGCAATAGGAGGTATACGTACCTGTCCCTTAGACCATAAGAGTGTCCCTTTTTTTATTCCTTTTTTATATCTTCTTCTTATGCATAAATTATTATAAAATTGATTTAGTATTGATGTTGAATTTATACATCCGCCTAAACGGATTGGGGATACGTACAGTCCTCCTGCTGCTGCTGCTGCTGCTGCTGCTGCTGATGCTGATGCTGATGCTGATGCTGCTGATGCTGATGGTGCTGCTGCTGGTGGTTCTTGTGGTTGTCGTGGTGCTGCTGCTGCTGCTGCTGCTGATGGTCGTGCTGATGGTGAGGTGCAAGGGGATGGCTGGGATGGCACATCTGATGATCGGCAGGGATGTGCTGCAGCTGCTGCTGCTGTTGCTGCTGCTGCTGCTGCTGTAGGTGCTGTTGCTCCTCCTGTTGCTGCTGTTGTTGGGGCTGCAGTTGTGGTGGTAGGTGCAACAGGGCTGTTACGTCTCCCTATAGGTGTGGTGTACACACACCTCACGTTTGTTGCATTCCCTCCTGCTGCTGTTGCTGCTGCTGCTCTAGGGGCAGCAGCTCCATTTGCTCGTCCTGCTGCTGCTGCTGCTGTTGCTGCTGCTGCTGCTGTGAGTCGATGCTGCCGCAGCAGAGGCAAATACCGCATGCAGGCAACTGCTGCACACACCATGGTGTTGGCTTCCGTATTTGCAGCAGCAAGAGCTGCTGCTCTTGCTGGTGCTGCAGTTCCTGCTGCTGCTGCTGCCACTAGTTGTCTGCTGCCCCTTTTATCGCCAATGCTCCTCCAATCTGTGGAGAGTCCCTTGTTATTGTAGCTGCTGCTCGTGCTTTTGTTGCTGCTGCTGCGGCAGCAGCTGCTGCTGCCGCGCAGTCAACGTCTTGCTGTCGGCTGCGGCTTTGGCAGCAGCAACAGCAGTTACAGCAGCAGCAGCAGCAAAAGCAGCAGCAGCAGCAGTAATAGAGTTATAGTTGCCCCTAAGTTCGTCTTCCTAATAAAAAGTTACAGCAGAAGTCAATGACAATATCTGCTGCCAATCCGCAGCAGCTGCAGCAGCAGCTGGAGCCGCAGCTCCTGCTGCTACTGCTGCTGCGGCTGCAGCTGCTGCTCGGTCGTTGCATGCAGCAGCAACAGCAAAATACAGATAATTAGATTTAAAATAATTTATTTATTTAATTTATTAAAGAAATAAAAACCCCACAAACATCTATACGCATGAGGTGTATGCCATCCTCCAAGGGAGGCTAGGAAGGCTAAACCCTAAACCCTAAATCCTAAACCCTAAACCCTAAACCCTAAACCCTAGAAATTGTTCTTCTTCCTTATTTATGATTTCTTACCAGAAATTATTTACCTAATATGCTTTATGGACAGCCTTTACTAGGCATCAGGAAGGAGCAGCAGCAGCAGCAGCAGCAAAAGGAAGAACAGCAGCAGCAGCAGCAGGAGCAGCAAAGCGAAAGCTTGCCGCACTCTCTGCAGCTGCAACCGCAGATGGGGCACTGGCAGCAGCTGCAGAAGCTGTAACAGCAACAGGAGCAGCAGCAGCAGGACGGCCGAGGCCGCAGCAGCAGCAGCAACGTGAGCAGCAGCAAGATAGAAGCAGCAGAGACAGCAGCAGCAGCAGCAGCAGCAGCAGGTGTTAGACCACCATCGGAACAATGAAAGACTCGGATCCTGCAGCTGCTCCTGTAGCAGCAGCACCAGCAGGAACTGCAGCAGCAGCAGGAGCAGCAACAGTAGCAGCAACAAGAGCAGCCACCGACGGCGCAGCACCCCCAGCAGCAGCCCCAGCAGCAGTTCCAGCAGCAGTTCCAGCAGCAGTTCCAGCAGCAGCACCAGCAGCAGCACCAGCAGCAGCACCAGCAGCACCAGCAGCAGCACCAGCAGCAGCAGCAGAAGAAGAATCTGACGGCGAGCAGTGCCGTAAGCGTATAAAGACGGAGCCGGAAGTAGCTGCTGCTGCTGCTGCTGCTGCTGCTGCTGCTTCTTCTTCTTCTTCTTCTTCTGCAGCAGCAGCAGCATCAGCAGCTGCCTCTAACCCTCCTCCTCCTCCTGTTCCTCCCCAGCAGCAGCAACAACAACAACAACAACAGCAACAACAACAACAACAGCAGCAACAGCAACAGCAGCATCAGCAGCAGCAGCAGCAGCAGAAGGAGAAGAAGAAGAAAGAAGAGTACCGTGAAGGTCATCGTACAACAGGAGGAGGTCGTTATTTATTAGTAGATACTTTCTTAGGGGAAGGAACTTATGGTCGTGTAGAGAGGGCATGGGATAAATTGCTGCAGCAGCATGTAGCAATAAAGAAGGTTAATTCATCTGCATGCAGCAGCAGCAGCAGCAGCAGCAACAGCAGCAGCAGCAGCAGCAATAATAATAATAATAAATTATTATTAAGAGAGAATGTTGGACAAGTTGGTCTGCATTTTACAACAATTAGGGAATTAAAAGTTATGCGTGAATTACAGCCAGCCCCCCAGCAGCAGCAGCAAGTGCAGCAGCAGCAGCAGCAAGTGCAGCAAGTGCAGCAAGTGCAGCAGGAGCACTTAATGGGCTTATTAGATGTATTCACAGAGGATGGATGTATATGTCTAGTCATGGAGGAGATGAAGGGAGATATAAGAAGAGCATTAGATAATAAAATAAGATTAACAGAGGCACAAGCTAAATGTGTCTTGCTGCAGTTGCTGCTGGGGCTGCAGCAGCTGCATGCAAGATATTTATTACATAGAGATATTTCTCCTGCAAATATTTTTGTTGCTGATGGTGGTATATTAAAACTTGCAGACTTTGGTCTAGCTAGGGCATTTGCTGCTCCTGCTGCTCCTGCTGCTGCTGCTGCATTAGCACGAGCGCAGCAGCGACAGATCCATAGAAAACAAATGTATTATAAGCAGCAGCAGCAGCAGCAGCAGCAATTATTACAACAAAATATAAATAATAAAGATAAAGAAGGAGAAAAGATAATATTAGATAAATTAAATAAAATAAATAAAGAATTAAATGAATTACGTCAACAACAACAGCAGCAACAGCAGCAACAGCAGCAGAAGCAGCTGCATGCAATTAGCAGCAAAAAAGACCTAATGACGCATAAAGTAGTTACTCTATGGTATAGAGCTCCTGAGCTATTATACGGCGCAGATAGATATACAGATAAAGTTGATGTATGGAGTGTAGGCTGTATACTATTCGAGCTTATTACAGGTAACCTGCTGCTCCTGCTGCTCCTGCTGCTCCTGCTGCTGCTGGTGGTGGTGGTGGTGGTGGGGGTGGTAGAGGGGTGGGGTGCGTGTTGCTTGATTTGCTGCTGTTGCTGTTGTTGCTGCTGCTTCTCTCAGTGGGGTTGTCTTTGTCACTTCCCTGCTTCTTATGCTGCTGTTGCTGCTGTTGCTGCTGTTGCTGCTGTTGCTGCTGTTGCTGCTGCTGCTGCAGGTCGTGCTTTATTCCCTGGATCCAATGACGTTGATCAACTTTGCCGCATTTTCTCTCTCTTGGGTACACCTCAACCTGTGGCGCTGCAGCAGCAGCAGCAGCAGGACAGCAGCAGCAGTGGGTCGGGTACAGCAGCAGCAGCAGCAACAACAACAACAGCAGCAGGAACATTACCTCTATGGCCTAATGTTGATTCCCTTCCTTCTTATTTTGCATTCTCTGCTTCAGCAGCAAAGAACCTGAAGCAGCTGCTGCCATTCAGCAGCAGCAGCAGCATAGATCTGCTGCTGCAGCTGCTGCAGCTAGACCCTAATAAACGTATATCTGCTGCTGCTGCGCTGCAGCACAGGTGGTTCAGGGACAACCCCCCCCCTTGTAAACCCCATGAGCTTCCTTTCGATTTCCTTAAGCCAAAAAACAACGAATACCTGCTGCTGCTGCTGCTGCTGCTGCTGCTGCTTCTGCTGCTGCAACTGGGTGCATGCTGCTGCAGCGGGTAGAATTTGGATTCTGCAGCAACAAATGACCAACGCGTCTGACCAGCAGCAGCAGCAGCAGCAACAGCAGCAAACACAGCAGCAACTGCAGCAAAAACTGCCGCAGCAGAAGACAAGCCCCATTGTGGGTGCAGCAGCAACTCCTTTAGCGTGGCGAAGGAGTTGCTGCTGCAGCAGCAGCTGCTGCTCATTAAGCGCAGCTGCTGGCAGCAAATTGTGCTGCAAGTGCTGCTGCTGCTGCTCCTCGTGCTTGCTGCCTTTATTGTGCATGCAGCAGCAACAGAAGCAGCAGCAGCAACAACAACAATTCGTTTCAACTCCTTTATATGTATACAAGCTTTTCTATCTACGAGCTCCTCTCTATGTGCTGCTGCTGCTGCTGCTGCTGCAGCAGCAGCAGCAGCAGCAAGACGTTTCTCCTCTAACACAGTTGCAGCAGCAGCATTAGCTATTGCCGCTGCAGCAGCACCCGTATCCCCTAACACAGCTACAACTGCAGCAGCAACTACTGCAGCAGCTGCACGTCTCTAGCTACTGCTGCTACAGTATCTCTATCCTCTAACGCAGCAGCAGCAGCAGCTGCTGCTGCTGCTGTCCCTTATTACTGCTAGTATTAATTTGTTGTGCCCCCCCTAACTGCTAAAGGAAGATTGCTGCAGTCCAATAGAGTTAAATAGCAGCAGCAGCTGCTGCTGCAACTGCTGCAGCAAATGCAGTTCAGCAGCAGCAACAGCAGCAGCAGCGACTGCTGCTGTTGCTGCGTTCAGTTGATGCTGCGCTTGCTGCTGCCAACCGCCACAGAAGCAAGCTGCCCCACACCCTTCTTCCTGCTGCTGCACCTTAGCAACAGCTGCTGCTGCTGCTGCTGCTTCTGCAGCGCTTGCTGCTATGGCGGTTGCTGCTGCAGCAAAGGTGCAGAAGTGTGGGGCGACACAACAGGAGGGATAAACAAAATAAGAGGAGCTGCTGCTACACAGCTACTACTACTGCTGCTGCTGCTGCTGCTGTCGCTGCTGCTGCTGCTGCTTCCCTTCTGTGTACAGACGGGGGGAAGAGGCGACAAAGACACTTACGACCGTACTATTAGTTGCAGGCTGTGCTGCAGCTGCTGCTGTTGCTGCTGTTGCTGCTGTTGCTGCCGTTGCTGCTGTTGCTGCAGATGGTGTTAGTTGTGGGGTGTATATGCACGTATACATGTATACGTATTCTTGGTGATCTTCTTCGTTGCCGCTGCTGTCTGTGTGTCTTGCTGCTGCTGCTGCTGCTGCAGTAGCAGCAGCAGCAGCAGCAAAGTGTATATGTACGTATGTGTACTTGTTGTATAGCTTATTCACTGCCGCTGCTGTCTCTCTCTCTTGCTGCTGCTGCAGCAGCAGCAGCAGCAAGCTCTACACCAACAGCAAAGTCCGATGCACCGCATGCACTACATAAGACATAATCACCAAACTTGCTGCCTGCTGTATGTACACGTCCGCACTGTAGACACTGCAGCAGGTGCAGCCTATCTAGTCTTGCTGCTGCTCTTTTTCTTTTTCTGCTGCCGCGGAGTCCTCCTACTCCTCCTCCTGCTGCTGCTGCAGCAGCAGCAGCAGCAGCAGCAGCAGGACGTAACTTCTCAACCTCATCAGCTACACCACGCCAACTACGACCCTTAAATGGTAGTATACGTAGTACACGTCTACCCATAGTCTCACCATCTGCTGCTGCTGCTCCTGCTGCTGCTGCTGCTGCTGCACCAGCTGCTGCTCCTGGTGCAGGAACTGACGGTGTTTGCTGCTGCTGCAGCTTACACTGCAGCAACAGCAAATTACGCAACTCCTCCGCCCCCAACTTAGATGCTAATTGATATAAGGGACGGCAAAATGCTGTGTCTGCTGCTGCTGCTGCAGCAGATGCAGCAGCAACCTGATGGCACAGGGGAAGACCATCCCCTAAGGGGGCCCCCAAAGGGGCCCCCAGGGGGGCCCCTAACGGGGCCCCCAAAGGGGGGCCCTGAGGGGCCCCCGTATACGGATTTACACGAGTTACTGCACGAGGGCGAGAGACACGAAGAGGACCCGGTGCTGCACCTCCAGCAGCTGCTGCTGCAGCTGCTGCTGCAACTGCAGCAGCAGCAGAAGGATGGTGAGGGGTCGATGGGGCCCCCTCGTCAATTTCACTGTCTGCAGGGGCCCCAAGAGGGCCTCGCTGTCTAGACACCCGAGGGGCGAATCTGCCTGCTGGGGGCTGCATGCTGAAGCTGCTGCAGCTGCTGCAGCAGGAGCAGCAACAGCAGCAGCAGCAAGGAACTTGCGCTGTGCTGCTGCTGCTGCTCCACTGCAGCAAAAACCTCTAAACCTAACGCCACACGGGGCCCCCCTTCTATCCCTATGGAGGCCCCTTTCGCCAACTAGGCCTGCTCCTGCTGCTGCTGCTGCTGCTGCAGCTGCTGTTGTTAATGCTGCTGCTGCTAATGCTGCTGCTGCTGCTTCGGGGTGGACAAGGGCGAAGCCAATGGACGATAGGAGCCGTTCTCGCTTGTTAACAGATTAATAAAAATTGCTGAGGGAGCTGCTGCTGCAGCAGCTGCTGCTGCGTTGAATGCTCCTTGTACTGTGGCCGCAGCAGCAGCAGCTGCTGCTGCTGCGGCTGCTGCTGGCCGTAAACCCTTAAGGGCCACTTCGTGCCAACTAGGAAACTTCCTGCAAACGTTGTTTAAAAGGAAACAAAGAAAGGACACCTACAGCAAAGTAGGAATGCAGACTTTGCTGCTGCTGCCGCTGCTGCCGCTGCTGCTGCTGCCGCTGCTGCTCCTCCTGCTGCACCTGGATGTGCCGCAGCAACAGACAAGGCGGCCGGCAGCAAGCACAGCAGCAGAATGTAGGAGGAATTGTCTGTGAGGCATAACAGCACAGCAGCAATGGGGCAGCAGCGGGGGCTCCCACTCACTCTCACGCGCTGCTGCTGCTGCTGCTGTCGTGCTGCACAGGGTGCTGCAGCAGCAGCCAAACTAACATGCAGCAATTGCTGCTTGTAGTCACCTTCCTTCTACAAATATGCAATTTGTTTATATCATAAGCCCCTAATCTTAGAGGCTTCTTTAAGGCATTATGGGTAAAGGGGGAACAGCAGCAGCAGCAGTTGCTGCTGCTACTGCTGAGAGCGTACCGCCGATCCGGAAGCCGCAGCAGCAGCGGCCGCTGCTCCATTGGCTGCAGCAGCAGCCTCTTGGGTGTTGCTGCTGCTGCTATATCATCACACTGGGCTGTCACGCGAGACAGGTTATAGGTAGCAGCAGCAACAGCAGCAGGCAGCAGCAGCTATGGGTGTACACAGTAGGAGGGCTTTCTCTCTTTCTTAGAGAAGCGACTTCTTAAGGGGGAGGCTTGTAGGTGTCTCCTACGTGCCTGTTCTGTCCTCTTGCAGGTCCCTTGCTGGTCCCCGTCCCTCCCAGTAAAAAGGAACAGGTACTACGGTAATATAAGCCCTAGTGTCTCCCTGCTAAGGAAGAGAGGCAGTTGTATAGGGCGTTGTTGCCCCCTATCCCTAAACCCTAATCCTCTTAGCAGAAGAGAGAGGAAGGGTTTAGGGTTTAGGGTTTAGGGTCTGGGGCTCAGGGAGGGTCTACGAGTGCTTGAGCCACCGTCTTAGTGTTATTGTAGTAACGGGGTGTCTTGTAAGACAGTCCTAGTATTATTATATTATTATAATATAATAAGGATAGCAGCAGTGTAAATACAGTGCATGCAGTGCATATAATACCCTTCCTAATAGAAGCAAATGTGCTGCCTTCCTCTAAGCAGCAAGACACCTAGGGGTAGCGGTATAGATTATTGACGGAGAGGAGGGACAGTGCCTCCTCTCCGTCGCCCTTCTCCTGCTACTACTACTACTGCTGCTGCTATCTTAACAGCAAATAAACAAACATGCATAAGCAAACCTACGCGGTGTAGGTATGCTAGGGCAGCGTTCGAGGTGCATGCATGCATGCTTGCATGCATGCACGCTTACATGCATGCGTGCATGCACTGACACTGCACAGAATTGTTGTAAACTCTCTTGCTCCCACAAGCCAGCCCCCACAGTAACAGCTATGCTTGCACTCGCATACCTCAGACCCTCCCTGCTGCATCTGCTGCAATGCCTCCTTAATCAGCAAATGGTCTCCTTTGCTGCTTTGCTATAGAAGCAAGAGAGCAGCAAGAGATGACTGCCTCCCAGCACCCGACAACTGTGACAACAATGATACATCGAACTTGCATGCAGGAGCTAAGACGTAAAACAACAGTGATGGTGGTTGTTGTTGATGTTGTTGTTGTTATCATGGTGATGTATCCCCTGTACTGTTATTATTGCTGCAATTATTATTATATTATATTATAGGGCAGTATCTATGCCTCTGCATTAAAAAGAGAATGTAGATGTTCATGAGGAATTGCTTATAAATAAATAAAAAAAAAAAGAATAAAAATAATCCTTAGAGAAGTCCATTTGTTTGTTCACTATGTTAGGTTACCTATGCAGCCAGGACTAGTCTCCTTCAATTCTCCTTTTCTTTATTAATACTCCTCCCTTCTTGTGGGGAGAACTCAGCTGACCTTCTCTAATTAGAGATATTAAGAATTGGTGGCTCTTGGGGCTGGTAGTATATACTGTAAATAAAAGGGACAAGGGATAGGGAGAGGGCAATGGGCTTAACAGGTGCCGCATGCACCACAGAAAGATAAAAGGGTAATAAAGGAATACAATATAATTATGCAACACTAATGGAACGAAAAGAACAGGTAAGAAGGAGAGGAAAAGGTACAAGGAGACACCATCTTCCTTAGCCGTGCATGCGTTTCGTCTGTTGCACAGGCAGTAAAACGAATCGAGGTTACATCCAATTAAAAAGATAAAGGAATAGGGGACACAAGAAGCATGACTAGGGGTAATACCCTTAAAAGAGCCATGAAGGAGACACAGGAGACACCATTGTTGTCCCGTGAAGTCTGTGGGGCGCAGTGGTGGTGACAGCAGCAGTGACTGCTCTCCCCCCCTCCTCTATGTTTTCTTGGAGTCTCCTTTGTATTGGAGAGACACAAAGGGGAGAGAGATGCTTGCGCTGCTTGACACCCGGTACGAAGCAGTCGTGGTGCCTGCAGCAAATGCAAGGAGGGGAGCAACCTATCTCTCCTCTCCTTGTTGCAGTGCCTCCTTCATCTCCTCTGAAGGGAGAAGGGAATATAACACACTAAAAAGTATACAAAGAAGGAACAACAACTCGATGTATTCTGCCACAAGATAAACCTTTGCATGCATTCGAACAACTTCCACGCATGCGCGGGACCATAGAAGATGCATGTGTTGGTGCTTGATAGAGATAGCGTGCATGCTTGCATGCATGCATGCGGCCACAGGAGAGAGAGTGAACACATGTGGGGCGCTTAAGACGAGACACCATGCATGCATGGATGCACGTGTGTACGCATGCATGCTATACGCCATGCAGGCTTGCATGCTCTAGTCGGCATGCATGCATGCATGCATGCATGCACGCATATGGCCTAAGGAAGAAAAAGTTAATGGTTGTGTGCTGGGGGGAGATAAGAGATTGCATGCGATGCGATGTTTACCAGCCCCAAAAGAGTTAGAAGAAAGGAAATAAAATTAATATCTGTTGCCTCCTTCTTAGGAGCAGCAAAACACCTCTTTTTTTCCCTCAACTCTAATATGCTGCTAATGTGTTAGAGCATACAATTTGATTAAAGGAAGAATGTATTACTTTTGGACCCCCAAACCCTAAACCGTAAACCCTAAACCCTCATAGCGAGTGAGAATCGAGGGGGGCCCCTCGGGGCTGCGATGTTGGGGGGCCCCCAATGGTTCTGTTTGGTGAGGGGTGGTGAAGAGGGAACTAGTAGGTCTTTTTTCCTTATTGAGTGTGTTATATACAGGATTTAGGGTTTATATAGCAGAATTTAGGGTTTAGGGTTTAGGGTTTAGGGTTTGGCCACCGGGCTTAGAACCTCGATACGCGGGGCTGTCCTTCTATGGTGTTAAGGGTTTGCCGATGGTATAAGGAGGTCTAAGGGAGTATAAAACCCTCCCTATACTTGATTTAGTGTTTATATTTTAGGGTTTAGGGTTTAGGGTTTAGGGTTTCGGAGATGCTGCCGAAGAGGCAGCGGCTCCAGGGCGAACGGGCCCAGAGCCCAGGAAGTAGCCGCAGCAGCAGCAACAGCAGCAGCTCTGCTGCTGCAGCAGCAACAGCAGCAGCAGAAGCAGCTGGCCCCTACCCTATAAACCTGAATCTTCCTCCCCTAACCCCTCGACCTTCCCAGCAGCAGCAGCAGCAGGAGGAGAGGTTGCTGCCTGTTGCAGGAGCGCGGCTGCCTGTTCCTCCTCTCCCTTCTGTTCTTTCTGTTCCTGCCTTGCTGCGTGCCCGCCAGGCAGAGGTTGCTGCTCTGCTGCAGCAGCTGCAGGAGCTGCCAAACCGTTATCAGCAGCAACGACAGCAGCAGCAGCAGCAGCAACGCATGCATAAGCAGCAGCAGCAGCAAAAGCAGCAATCTAAGCGTCAAAAGAAAGCACAAAATGCAGCAGGAGCAGCATCTGCTGCTGCATCCTCTGATGGTGCTACTTCCCCCAGAGAAGTCGATACAACCGCAGCAGCAGCAACCCCAGCAGCAGCAGCAGCAGCAGCAGCAGCAGGAGCAGCAGCAAAGACAGGACCGTGCAGACGAGCCTTCCAGAAGCTTCCTGTATATATGAGGAGAAGGTGCATGTCTTATAATCCTTATAGGGTACCAAGAAGAAGAAGAGACCATATCTTAGTAGAAATGGCTAAAACACCACCTAAGGTAAACCCTAAACCCTAAACCCTAAACCCTAAACCCTAAACCCTTAAATATATATTATAGAGATATATACTCTCTCTAAACAAATGGTGTTTATATACAACAAACCCTAAACCCTAACTCTTCTATCCTGTTACTCTACTGTTAGCTAACTTCCTGTATAAGATGACCTAAACCCTAAACCCTAAACCCTAAACCCTAATCTGTATGTTTGCTGCCTACAGCCATCAGCGCGTCGCTCTCGTCGTCAACAGCGTCGTCTATCGGAGCTCTTGAAGCAGCGTACAGCTCCGTTCCCCTTCCCCCCCAACAGCAGCAGCAGCAGCAGTTGCAGCAGCAGCAGCAGCAGCAGCAGCGGGAAACTGCGTTGGCTACAGACGCATGCATATCATGTACGACGCTTCCGCATGCTTCCTCTTTGGGGCTTTAGTCTTCCCTTACGACCATCGCAGCGCATGCAGAGGCAGCTGCAGCGAGCAGCAAGACAGCATGCAACTATACATGATGCTTCTTATTATTCTATTATTGAGCTACAGGGGCCCCTCGTGCTGCTGCTGCTGCTGCTGCGACGCTGCGGTGCTGATGCTGCTGTACTCAGCAACAAAGCTATACGTGCAGGTGCGCAGCAGGGACGCATGTTACTGCTGCAGCAACCGCAGCAACAGCAGCAACAGCAGCAGCAGCAGCAGCAGCAGCAAAAAGCTACACTTATTGCACCTTGTGATTTCTTCTTTAAGGCTGCTGCAGCAGATGAGACAAATCGTACCCTTTGGGTGTCTGTACACCCTGCAGCAGCAGCAGCAGCAAAAGCAGCACTTGCTGCAGCAGCAGAATCCTTGCGGCCACCGGGTTGCTGGTGCTTCTTACGGTCCCTATCCTCACCACCAGCAGCAACAAATACAGCAGCAGCACTAACAGCAACAGCAGCAGCAGCTGCAGCAGCAGACGCAGCAGGTTGTACCTGCGGCCTTGGGGTGTATATACAGCTGGTACCCAATATAGCTAGATTTGAGTTAAGGGGCCCCCGCTCATTAAGGGCCCTTGGGTTAGCATTAAAGGTTGTACGTCCTGCTGCTGCTGCTGCGGCTGCTCCTCCTGCTGCTGCTGCTGAGGGTAATGGTGGTGGTGGTGGTGCTGCTGCTGCTGCTGTCGGTATGGCTGCGGATGATCCCCCAGCGACATCAGCAGCAGCAGCAGAAGCAGCAGCACAGACAGAAGCAGGACAAACAGCAGCAGAAGCAGCGGCAGCAGCACCAGAAGCAGCGGAAGATGCTGTTGGTGCACAAGCATGTTATATGCTATGGAGGGCGCTGCTGCAGCACGAGCTGCAGCAAGGCTGCTGCCCCCCGCTGCCTGGTGGGTGTCTCCTAAGTTTAGAGACACTGTCTCCTTCCTTAATGGGCCCTTTTCCTCCTCGTTGCCGCAGGCTGCTGCGTCGTGCTGTTGCTGCTGCTGCGGTTGCTGCTGCTGCTGGCGGTACTGCTAGTGCAGACTTTGCAAAAGCAGACGCAGCAGGAGCAGCAGCAAGAGCAGCAGCAGATGCAGCAGCAGCACAAAGTATGACACCTAAGGCTGCTGTTGCTGCTGCTGTTGCAGCAGGAAGGGCGCTGCCTCCTCCTGCTGCTTCGCGCCTGTTTTCTCCTGCTGCTGTTGCTGCTGCTGCTGCTGCTGTTCCCTTCAAGGTTGCTACTCGCAGCAGGAAGAGGCCAGAGATACGGGCTTTGCTGCAGCGGCTGCAGCAGCGCAGCGAGCAGCTGCAGCGGGAACGGCAGATGCAGCAGCAGCAGCAGAAGAAGAAGCAAGCGCAGCAGCAGCAGCAACAACACCAACAACCGAAGCAAAAGCAGCAGCAGCTGCAGGTGCTGCAGGTGCTGCAGCAGCAATCCAAACATCAGCAGCACCAGCTGCTTGGTGCAGCAGCAGAAATGGGAGCTGCAGCGGGAAGGAAAGCAGCAGGCACGTCTGGTGCAGCTGCAGCAGCAGCAGCAGCAGCAGCACTTGCTGCTGCTACTGCTGCTGGGTCTGCCAGTGCTGCAGCACTTGAAGATGAGGAAGACTTTGGGTGTCCTCTCCCCGTTGCTGCTGAGGCGGAGGCAACAACCTCTGCAGCAGCAGCAACAGCAGCAGCAGCAGCTGGCACTGCCGGTGCTGCTGCTGTGGGTGTCGTGGAGGCGGCATCAACGGATGCTGCTGCTGCTGCTGGCAATTTGAGTGCTCCTCTGTGTCTTCCTTCTGCTGCAGTAGCTGCAACTGCTGCAGGCGCAGCAGCAGCACCAGCAGCAGCAGCAGCAGCAAAGCGTACCACGGTTCCTGTGTTGCTGATATCTCATGGGGGTTTTGTATCACAAGGAGCTGCAGGCCTTCTAGGTCCCAACATGGACAGCAGCAGCAGCAGAGGCAGCAGCAGCAGCAGCAGCAGCAGCAATGGGTTTGATTTGCTGCTGCCTGCAGGGGCAGGTGCTGCTAGGCTGTTTGTGCTGCTGTGTAGGTTAGGGGTTGTCCCTATAGGGTACAACGACAGGAGGAAGCATCTGTTGGAGGCAAGCAGCAGCAGCAGCAGCAGTAGCAGCAGCAGCAGCAGTAGCAGCGACTTCCCCTTTGGGTTCCCCGATACTGCAGCAGGAACGCATGCAGCACTCTGCTGCGCCTGGCAGCAGGAGCTGCTGCACCTCCGTAGGCCCCCTAGCTGCCGCTGCAGCTACACAGTAATGGCAACAAAGTGTCCCTTCTTGCCTCTATGGAGACAGGTGCAGCACATGCCCCTGCAGCAGCAGCAGCAGCAGAAGCAGCAGCAGCAGCTGCAGCAGCAGGGCAAGCAGAATAAAGAGCAGGAGAGGGAAAGAGAAGACGAGCAGCGGGAGGAGCAGTTGCTGCTGCAGCAAGCTGTCGTTGTTGCAGTGGGAGGAAGCAAGCAGCAGCAGCAGCAGCAGCACCTGCAGCAGCAGCAGCACCGTCGTTTGTATGGCCCTTCTTGCTTCTTACCCCCAAGGTTGCTGCCGCTGCTGCTGCCGCCACCGCAGCCCAATAGACGAGAGATGCAGCAGCAGCAGCAGCGAGCAGCAAACCTGCTGCATGTACCTATGCCGGTGCCACGGGGGGATTTGCTGCAGCTGCTGCCTAAGCTGCTGCTGCCTCCTCCTGCTGTACGCATGCTACCTGTGCAGATGCTGCGGCTCTCCCTATTCCTTCAACAGTTCCGCAAGCAGCAGCAGCAGCAGCAAAAACAGCAGCAGCAGCAGAAGCAGCAGCAGCAGCAACAGCAACACGCGCAGCAGCAGCTACAGGCTTTGCTGCAAGCAGCAAGGAAGGAGAGAAGTATGGGGCCAGCAGATGAATTGCCTCTTGTCTTCCTATGGGGTCTGCAGCAGCTGCTGCTGCCTCTGCAGACAGCGGCGGGCAGCAGCAACAACAGCAGCAGCAGCAATAGCAGCAGCAGCAGCAACAACAACAACAACACGAGTAGCACCGGCATCTGTAGCCGTAAACAGCGTAAGACAGCTGCTGCTGCAGTTGCTGCTGCTGCTGCATACCTGAGCAGACACCAGGCGTTGCTGCCTATACACCTTGTTGCACATAATAAGGGTTTACCCCTTGAGAGATCTCATCTCTTTTCTTTCTCTCTTGCTGATCTTCGTCTCTTCTTTCAAGGTTAATAAACCCTAAACCCTAAACCCTAAACCCTAATAAACCCTAATAAACCCTCTTGGTGTTAGTTCTTACGCGATGGGCGTGAAGGAGCAAACTGCAGCAAACGGGAGTTTATAGGGGAAAGGGACTCCATACATATATCAGGATTAGGGTTTAGGGTTTAGGGTTTGGGGTTTAGGGTTTAGGGTTTAGGGTTTGGTGTGTGTTGCAGCATATCCTGCTACACCGTCAACTAAGGAAGCTTTGCCTTCTATTTCTTCCGCCATACACCTGCGGCCTGCTCTTGTCCCCTTGCTGCAGCGCAGCAGCAGCAGCAACAGCAGCAACAGCAGCAGCAGCAACAACACTGGCGGCAGCCTACACTTGCAGCTGTTGGAGCCTCTGCACGGGAAGGCATGCAGACGCCGCTTGGTGCAGCTGCGGCAGCAGCAGCAGCAACAGCAGCAGCAGCAGCAGGGCAACAGCACAAATAAACAGCAAAGACAGCAGAGGAATAGACCTGTGGGGAAGGAGCGGAGAAGACTGCCGCCAATGCATGCGCATGCAGCAGCAGCTGCT